TATATTTAGTGTTTTTCTGTTGACAAAGCTTGACCTGACAACTAGTGCATGGAATGCTGTATATTGATGAACGCTTTGCTGTGCGTGGCGTGCTTTTCTTTGATGTTTACCAGTCCTGCTGATCTGCCACTTTTTCTTCTTCCTTCAGAAATATTATGGTTTGGATGCCAAGTGGGGTGACATTGAGCAATGGATGGTAGGCTTTTACAAACAATCCCTGTGTGTTGTGTTTAATAAACCTTGTGAGCTGCTTTAGAGTTAGAAGCAGTCAGTACGGGGAATGCATGTTCAAAAAATTGTAAGTATGAGAAGGCAACTGTGGAAGCTGGTCCTATCCTTGCCATGAAGAAGCAACAGTGTACAAACCTTAGAACCAGAAAACACTTATTCTGCTGGTAACACTAAGGCTCATTCACACTTGGCACTGGTGTTTTTATGCAGAGATCTGCCTGCAAAATCTGTCCGGCTAGATGCTTTGTTTATGCTTTTTAAAATGACGCATGTTTACACGCATGTGGGTTTAGCTGCATCTGTCCTTTGTCCATTGAAACAGTCCATTAAAGTAGCCAATGAGATTTTAGCAACTAAATGCATCTTGTGTTTACATGTGTTATAGTGCGTTTAGGAGTTAAAATTCATTCCTGGACAAACCTGACTGCAGATAAAAGCATCTAAACTATGGATTCACGATACATCGGCCGCTGAAACATATCGGCGGAAAACAGCACTTTTGGCATACTGCCGAAAGTGCCATTTTCTGGCCGATACAGTGGTGCATCCGTTTTTTCTCTCCTCCCCGATGGTCGCTGCTCTGTGTCCCAGCGGGAGGAGAGAAACTCCTGCAGCGTTCAGCGGCCTGTGACAGGAGAGCGCTGCGAGTGGCTGGCGTCTCTACTTCCACACAGCTCAGCCTCCTGTCGCAGAGCGGTGTGTGAGCAGAGACAACCAGCGCTGTCACAGGAGGCCGTGACAGCTGTCAGGCAGGAGAGTGAGTACAAACACTCAGTAATCTGTGATCGCTGAGTGTTTGTAAATAATTGAGGACAGAGTATGTTGACTATATCCTTAATTATGAATGAATGGAAGTGATCTACATCCCCAAAATAAAAAAACATTTTCGGTTTTGAACGGACATTTTTTTTTTCCGGTTTTTAATTTTTATTTTCGGTGCAACGCTAGTCTAAACGTAATGTGTGAATAGATGCATTGAAAATCATTAGATGCATGTATGGGAAAACCATTCTAAACTCGTATAAACGCCTCTAATCGCAGTGAGAGTGCAGCTCTGGTCCCTGTTCACACCTGAGCGATTCGATGGACAACAAAAGGAAACCCATTGTTTCCTAACCTGTTCACACTTATGCAACACACTTCTGCAATTTTGAAATGGTAACGTTAAAAATAGTGTGCTTGTAGCCCCATATACTTCAATGGGAGCACATGTAATATGCATTTTTGTGCGTTTAGTGCATGACAACAAGCCCCTATCCCCTAGCATCCTATACTATTTTTTATCTTTCTAGCTTCCTTGGCGAAAACATTAACACAGGAAAAAGCAATAAAACGCATGAGAAACATGCAATGAAAATAGCCCAAAAAAATGTGCCACTCGTTCTGGTGCGATCGATCACACTGTGGGTGGGGGGTGCGTGGCAGTGCATTGAAGTCAATGGCACCGCAGCCACGCCCCATCAAGGCAGGAAGCCGGCCGGGATGTGATACATTGCGTTTCAGCAGCTGACCGCTCTGGAACGCACGATTTATGGGGTGAACAAGTCCTAAGGCCTGTGGCTGGACTGAGAATTCTTGTGAATTTATGTTTGCAATACCTTCCCGGTGGGCTTCCTGCAAGATTTAAAAAGTGTTTTTTATGCAGATGGTCTTTAAATTCTGTAAAAATGCTGTTTAGCCCTTGTGTGCCTGCTCAGTGTAGGATTGCTGAGTGGACTGCATGTGAATTTATTCCTCATCTTTTATTATATCATTTCTATTTTAAAACCTGTCCTTACCCTACCAGCTTCCCACGCCCCCATCCCCATTGGATTGTGTTTTCCTTTCTCCTCCCATTGTCTCTTGTGTGTTTTATCTGCCTTGCTGTGAGCTGCTTCATGTGTTTCTCTTGTCCCTGCCATGCTTTTCCAGGAAGATAGTGAGCGATACTCACACAGACCACGGAGGAATCTCCAGGTCAGTCTTTACCCGTGCACCATTATGTAAACCATTCTAACCTACTGATCTGTAGAACAGGTTTAAAGCACTTCAATGCTGAAACTGCATGATCGTCCTGTACATTTCTCCTTTTTATACTTCCAATTTTAGCCACGTGGGTTTTAAGTAAAGCTTGGCTGTCGCCATTACTCTACTACACATTAAACCAAGAATGATGCATTATAATAATAACAACTTGATTAATATTATACCAACTGTATGTTAACCTATGTGTGTGGCTGCTTCGGTAGTCCTACCTTATTATATGCATGAAATTGCCATCTTTCACACAGATTAATGGAGAAGAATTGTGAGAGTTAAATATATTCTTCCCAATACATTAGGAGACACTGCAGCTGTCACATGCTGGCTCTATACCGAGAGCTGAGCAATCATATAACCGCTGTTGGATCAGCTCAGTCTCCTCCCTGCAGAGAGCAGCAACACCACTCAGTCACCGCTCCCTGCTGGGATTCCCAGCCCCCACTTCTTTCCTCCAGTGCTCATTGGAGGGACAGACAGGGAAGGGGGGGGCAGGGTGGATCCTGACAATATTGTAGGGATCTGTCCTGTCTGCAGTGTGGCTCTGTGCTGTCAGCATATAGCGGGTGGGCGGTAGCATGCTATGTGTTGACTTTGACTTTGGGTCACAGGACGACATTAGTAAAGGCCGTGACACACAGCACGCGAAGCCGTGCAGAGCGAAGCAAAGCTATCCGGCACGGAGCTTTGCGTGCAGTGTGTGAGCTGAGTGCAGTCAGATGATTGACAGCACCTTCAGCCAATCGGCTCGTCTGTAACAACCTGCCAGCTGTCGCATCGCGCTGGTTTATATGCGCGAGCCGATTGGCTGAAGTTGAAATTGTTCATCTCGGCACGCTCAGCTCCGCGAGCTCTCGCAAGCTGAGGTGCCGAGCAGAAAATTACATGACACACTGCTCGCAAAGGCAACGCGCCCCCGCTCCGCGCTGCTTCGCGTGCAGTGTGTCACGGCCTTAAATGTACTCCTGTATACACATTCTTACACAACATCACTGACCTCTCTAGCAGCTTTTAATGTGAAGCTATTTAAAGGAGAACTATGGGGTTAAGGCTTTTCCGTCACCTTAGGCTCAGTATATTGGGACGCCACAGCTGAAGCGGATCCAGACAATTATGTCTGGATCCGCCAAGCTGCGTGACTGACAGCTGGCTCTGCCTATCTAGAGGCAGAGCCAGCTGTACCCGCCCCCTCCCCTGTCCGTTCCGCCAGTCAGCGCTGGCGGATCGGAGCGGGGAGGGGGGAATCCAGCCCCTCCCCTGTCACGGTAGAGAGCCGTGACAGGATCGAGAGGTGAGCGAACGCCGTTATGTGTTCGCTCACCTCCCCATCTATAGTTCTCCTTTTTAAGCTTGAAGATTCTCAAAGATAGAACAAATACTCTGAAAAAAACAGCTTAGAAATGTCTGCTGGTTGTTTACATTAGAGGGCTAGTGGGCTGCCACGATCTATTCTACAACTCACTACCTGTCTTGCGCATTTTGAAAATAAATTTCTACTCGATAAATTTATGTATGTATGTATGTATGTGTGTGTGTGTGTGTGTGTGTGTATATATGTATATCTATCTATCTATCTA